ATATTATAGAATAAAAAATGAAAGCGAAACTAAGGAAGTGTAGTGGGGGTGGTGGCGAATCTTTGCAGATAAATGAGAGAAGGAAAACGACCATTGCTATGACATTTTTGGATTATATAACTTTAGGCCGGCTATATTGCAGAATTTGCAACTCAGTCCCTTCTCTTTTGGGATAACTCAATTACTAGTAATTTTTTTTAGAGACCGAAAATGCCTTATAATATACGATTTTAACAACATTTTTTTTTAATTTGCGAAAATGACCAACAAATTCGCAACGCGAACTCCAATTTCGCAACACAGGTTCCAAAATCGCAACACGAATATGTAAATCGCGTTGCGAATTTGAAAATCGCATTGCGAATTTGAAAATCGCATTGCGATAGTACTATTTACCTATATCGATAATTAGCGTTGCGAATTTGAAAATCGCATTGCGATAGTACTGTTTACCTCGCATTGCGATAGTGATAGTACTGTTTACATTGCGATAGTATTGTTTACCAATATCGGTAATTAGCGTTGCGAATTTGAAAATCGTATTGCGATAGTACTGTTTACCTATATCGGTAATTAGCGTTGCGAATTTGAAAATCGCATTGCGATAGTACTGTTTACCTATATCGGTAATTACCGTTGCGAATTTGAAAATCGCGTTGGGAATTTGAAAATCGCATTGCGAATTTGGAAAATTACGTTGCGATTTCCGAAAATGAGTTGCGAAATTAGAGTTCGCGTTGTGAATTTGTTGGTTATTTTCCAAATTCGCAATGTGATTTTCAAATTCGCAACGGTATTTACCGATTTAGGTAAACAGTACTATCGCAATGTGATTTTCAAATTCGCAACGCTAATTACCAATATAGGTAAACAGTACTATCGCAATGTAAACAGTACTATCGTAATGTGATTTTCAAATTCGCAACGCGATTTACATATTCGCGTTGCGATTTACTTATTCGTGTTGCGATTTTGGAACCTGTATTGCGAAATTGGAGTTCGCGTTGTGAATTTGTTGGTCATTTTCGCAAATCTAAAAAAAATTGGTTAAAATCGTATATTATAAGGTATTTTCGGTCACTGAAGTTATTTTCTCTTTTTTTTATGCGTGTAGGCCAAAACGAACAACAAATTAGCAATATGTCGATGTCGTAGTCGTGCTCGACCATAATATTAATTCTAGAAAAGACGTAGTTGTTAGAATCATAATATCGGAGAAGATTATGATTAATGTTAATTGTAATTCATCATTTTTAATTTGGATGAAAAATTATATGTACATGATGATTAAAGAGGTCCGGGTATAATGAGTACTTTTGAATAGTAAAGATTGGTGTGTGTGTGTGTTTTCCCCCAAAAGAATGAGAGAAGAACTAAGAAAAAGAATTTCTCGGTAAATAAGAGAAAGGTTATTATTTATTGGACGGAGGAAGAGAAAAAAATTATCATTTCCCTCCTAAGATTATAGGTATGAATTTAGAGTAATTACAATATTAGTTAATAGGGATTTTGTTGAATCTTATGGACACATTATTTTTGGGAAAACGACCGGAGTACTCGGCGTCTTCAAGGCCGAACCACCATGACTAGCCTCCCTCTCTTCTCCCAAAAAATGCCCGCAAAAAAGTATATATATAGTGGCGTTTTTCTAATAAACGCTATTATAGATGGATCTATTGTGACGTTTTTCAAAAAACGCCACTATTATTGTGCTGGGCCCAAAAAATGCAAATATATATATATATAGTAGCGTTTTTCCAATAAACACCACTATAGGTTGACCTATTGCGACGTTTTTTTCAAAAAAAACGCCACTATTATTGTCTCGAAATCGAATATATTTAAAAAATAGGGCATCTTTATGAGAATTTGTACAAGACCCCCGAAAACCTAACCACGGCCCTGACTGCAGCCTCTCTCCTCCTCCCTTTCTACTGTAGATTCAAGTTTGAATGTGAAGAGTTAAAGACACCATATGCTTCGGTCGTTTTTCGAAAGACGCTATGTACTTCGGCTAACTTCTAATGTTCATTGTAACTTTCACCCTATTTCAAAAAATAATTTTTTGATTCCACCATTTCGGGAAAGTTCTACAGTGCGACAATCTTAATATACGACTAAAAAAAAGCACTACCGGTTTTGTTATTTAAAATGACCTAAAACATTATTATTTCTACCGAGTTTAATTACCGATATAGGTAAATACAGTAGTAAAAACCCGGTAAAATAATATTTTGGGTAGCTCTTTACCGAAAATATTATTTTTCTACCGCGTTTACTTATATCAATAATTAATAATAATAACAAAATCGATAAAAATAATAATAATTTCGATATTTTTTACCGATCTTATTATTAAAAATAATAATAAAACTTTTTAATAGTATATTAAGACTGTCGCATTTTCCCATTTCAACCCAGCCCCAGCTCCACTGGAACAGAATTGTCAAAAAGTTCCCCTATAGTTGAAGGTATAGAAGCTTTACAGGATACTGTTAAATTGTCAAAAAGTTTGGTTATCAACATATTGACCGATAAGACAGACGTGAAACATTCAATTTTCGCCCTCTTTTTTTTCTCTCCAAACTTTTCTAATTAAATATATTTTTTAATTTAGTTTGATAATTTAAAAAAAAGTAATGGCATGTAAAAAAAATATAAAGTTATATTTAATTATCACTTAATTACTTACATGATTTTTTTAATTTAGTTTGATACTTTTTATAAAAAAAAATATCAGGAAATCTTCATGTTTTGAGAAATTTAAGGAACTTTTAATAATTTTCTTTGAAGTTCTATTAAATTAGTACAGGGACTGGCGACAGAAATTAGACAAATAATCAATGAAAAATAGTCAGTGACCGACATGTCGACCAATCGGACGGCTGGATGTGAAATGTTTGACCTTCTTCGAAGCCTCTCGATATGGACCAACGGATGAACGAAACGTGTTCGGTCAGCTTTGCTCTGATCGTGGCTTTTCATTTCACGGTTGTCCACCCCCGATTACAACGTCACGTAAATTTTATATGGGGAGGAATTATCCGGTAGGCCTCGGGACCGACACGTGCTACAGCCATCTACACTCCATCGTCTGCCACGTCATGGATTCTTGCTTATTGGGTCCACCGTCCAGAAATGTGACTTGACGTGGCACGGACCCAGGCTGATCTGGTAGGTTAAAACACGAGATCATAGCGGCGTAAGTTTGTGACTTGTGATGCACCGCCGTATCAATTCGATCACAAAAAGATAGACTTTGCCCCCTCTAGTTTCCATTTTAGTGCTATTACGTCCCTACTAAGGTATACTATTTTTATTTTTGTCATTTTTTAAAATTTATTAAATCTTATGAATGATCTTATTTATTCATAGCTTATTAAAATGTAGAATAAATATATTTATTTAGGGAAATGATAAGAAAAAGAAAAATATAGAAATAACATGACTGAAAATTATTTTTAAAAAATTATTTTACTAAATTTTCGTTTATTAATTTAAAATTATGGAATATATTTTACAATAGGAAGTCATCAACAATTGTTAAAATTATTAAGCCCCATTTCAGCTGGATACTTAGGAAATTAATCAAATTGCGAGATGAGGCCAGGGTCCTGCTCCCAGCTTCTGCAAGCTGGACACATATTAGAGGTCGATGGGTATGGGATAGAATTAGGGGAAGGAAGAATAAAGTAGATTGGCATCGTCTTATATGGTTTCCTGTTCACGTTCCAAAATTCTCTTTAATCACATAGATGACAATCCTTGATAAGTTGCCTACCAAGGACAGATTTGCTCGGTTTGGAGTGGCGACAGACCTTGTTTGTGGGTTATGTGGGATTGGACTAGAGTTCATGAATCACCTATTCTTGGAATGTTCTTACTCGAGATCAGTCTGGGACTCTGTTTTACATGATTGTAGATTACAACAGCAAGGAGGAAGCTGGGATGATATGCTCTGTTGGATGGCCAAAAATTGGAAGGGTAAGTCCCTGCTAGTTCACATTCTGAAACTGGCATGGACTTGATTCGTTTATTCCATTTGGGAAGAGCGCAACTTTCGTATTTTTAGAGGATTGTCGCGTTCAACTGATGTAATTGTACATGCTATAAAAGAGGATGTTATAATTAAGTTGTATAGGCATGATATGAATAGATTGGATAGGGTAAATAGATAGCTTTGTATTGATTGGGGCCTCATTTAATTGGTTGTAAACTGTTTTTTTTTTGTAGCAGCTTGCTGCTTCCATTTGGATGAAATAGATTGATTATCCAAAAAAAATTGTTAAAATTATTATTTTTAATAGAAATCCTGACTATATTAATGACAATCTATGTAAATTTCATGCAAATTTTTTAATTTTAAGTTATTTATTGATATAACACATAAAATAAATAATATTATAACAACACCAAATACATGTGAAGTATCACATGTGGAATTCAAAACAGTTGAAGCTTTAATATTTTAGCTAACACTTTTCATTGAAAGAAATGATTTGACATTTTTATGAAAGATAGAGCACTAAATCTAATTTAAAAAAGAATAAGTGTCAATTTAATAAAAATATAATAATTGAGGATTAAATTTATCATAATATTTAACTATATAGATTTTATTCTGGTTTAATTATAAATTTCATCCATTTACTTTATAAAAAATAAAGTTAGTCATATTAGTTTAATTTGAAGTTTTTATAAAGTAGAAGGATGCAATTCACAATTAGACCCTTGAATTGTTTTAAATTTTCAAAGTAAACCCCAACTTCCCCTTGAACCCTTGGATTCCATTGACGTTCATCAAGATATGAGTAATTTCTAGGAGTCACTATAAAGCAAACGTTTGGAAATCAAAGTTACCAAAGTGAGAATTATAACAGTTGTTAATGAAAACCACAAATTAAAGATGAAAGGTCCTTATCTATCAAACGAATCCCTGGCTCTATATAAACCCTCAAACTATCTCCCCCCATTGATCTTCACAGCACAAGTACTATAGAGCTTTTACCTGCAACTCACCATTTTTTTGGCTATGGAGACAGCTTCTCATTTGGTTTATATTATTCTCTTTCTCTCAACTCTTGTTTCATTTCCATTGTTAAGGAAGCAGAAGAGAGGGATTCAGTTCAAAAGATTGTACAGGCTTCCTCCTGGTTCAATGGGTTGGCCATACGTTGGGGAAACCCTTCAACTCTACTCTCAAGACCCTAACATCTTCTTCTTGACTAAACAAAAAAGGTTGGTTGCAGATATACTTCGAGTCGAGTCGAGTCGAGTTAAACCCTAAATAGATGTAATATTGGTTTGGTTGGTGTCATTTTGTTTAATGATTTTTGTGTTTCAGATATGGAGAAATATTCAAGACGCGCATCCTGGGTTGCCCTTGTGTGATGCTGAGCAGCCCCGAGGCGGTGAGGTTTGTGCTGGTGACTCATTCCCATTTGTTCAAGCCGACGTACCCCAAGAGCAAAGAGAAGCTCATCGGCCCTCACGCGCTCTTCTTCCACCGCGGCGGATACCACACTCGGCTGAGGAGATTGGTCCAAAACTCCCTAGCCCCTCAAACAATTAAGAAGCTTGTCCCTGATATCCAACACATAGCCCTTAAAACCCTCGAATCATGGGCTGCCTCTCAACAAGTTATAAACACCTTTTATGAGATGAAAAAGGTTTGTTTAACTGGACAGTCAATTGCATCATACGTATATAGTAAAACATTCTAATTAAGCCTTAAAATTTTTATGTTTGAGTTTAAATAAAGTTTATCCTTATTAGGAAAGATAATTTGACTCGAGTTCGATGGATTTCGATCCAACTTGATAAGATATGATCAGTATTTTAATAAAAAAATAGATTCAGACCAGAACGGTGAGATCTGGTTGGGTTCGAATTTAGGATAGAAAATCTATGACTCAATCCGACCAAAAATAATATATATATATATATATATATAATTGTTATAATACTCATCCCTCTATATTTTTGTAAGTGGGTATCTATTTTATCAAATAAAAATATTTTTAATATACATGTCGGATCTAATCAGATCGGATGTGAGTTTTTATCCTAAAATTTAGAACGGGCAGGACTTCCCGAAACTTGGGTCGAGTCAAGTCGAAGGAGGAGGTATGCTTATCGGTTTGGGTTGGATTAGCCGAAAATGTAACCCAACCCAAACCCATTACCATCCCTAACCCCTATATGGTATGAACGGCTCGTTGGACCAATTTAAAATCTGTGCAATAGTTTGGGACGTATAGTGAAATTAACCCTTTTATCGATGCTAGCCAAACCCTGGGACCTTTCTAACATGGGTTTGTTTGACTTTTTCCCACAGCTGTCATTCGACGTTGGCATTTTATCCATTTTTGGTCACCTAGACAAAGGGTTCAAAGTGATGTTGGAGGAGAACTACCGGCACGTAGATAAAGGTTACAATTCTTTCCCAACAAACATTCCCGGGACTGCGTATCACAAAGCAATCCTGGTAAGAATTACACCCATTTTTCTCACTGTCGTTTATCAGACAATTCCATAACCATGCACTCATATGATGCCTTGTTCTTTTTACTTGTCCAAAGGCGAGGAAGAAGCTGAATGAGATTTTGGGTGAAATAATCTGTGAGAGGAAAGAGAGAAGGGTTTTGTCGGAGGACTTGTTGGGACATTTTTTTAACTTCAGGGACGAAAATGGACAAACTCTGAGCGATGACCAGATTGCCGATAACATTATTGGAGTACTTTTTGCAGCACAGGACACAACAGCCAGTGTTATAACATGGGTTCTTAAATTCCTACATGATGACCCCAAACTTCTAGAAGCAGTTAAGGTAAGAAAAATCATGGGATTTCTCATTAGGGACTAGTTTGTTACAAAATTATATCATCGTATCCTGATTTTGTAATTTCCAAAATTCACTACTACAGGCTGAGCAAATGACGATATATGAGTCAAACAATGGAGGAACAATGCCCCTAACATGGGAACAAACAAGAAGCATGCCTCTTACACATAGGGTACGTGATAATGTCTAAACTTTAAAAGTTGTCCATGTAGTAGTTCTGGATTTGGATTAGAAGTGATGTAGCTTCCTTTGCAGGTGATACTAGAGAGCTTGAGGATGGCAAGCATCATATCTTTCACATTTAGAGAAGCAGTAGTTGATGTGGAATACAAGGGTAATTAAAGGGGGTGCTTAGTCTGTAATATTCTATTATATGTAACTGCAGTAATTGCCATTAATCTGGAATATATTGTTTTTGGTCCCTCAGGTTACTTAATCCCCAAGGGTTGGAAAGTGATGCCAGTGTTCAGGAATATTCATCATAACCCTGAATTCTTTCCTGATCCTCATGAATTTGATCCATCTAGATTTGAGGTATGTTTTCTTTTACCGAATCTTCGTTAATTTTACGATTCGAATCGAGTCGGATCGAAATCCGTCAAAACTTACAATTTATTGTTTTGAGCAGGTGGCACCAAAACCCAATACCTTCATGCCATTTGGAAACGGCATTCATGCTTGCCCCGGCAACGAGCTGGCCAAGCTGGAGGCTCTCATCTTTATCCACCACCTAGTAACACGCTTTAGGTATATATACATTTTGTTCATAGAGGAATAATTTGGTTAACTCTACTAGATGTGCTCAGAATTATGGTTTATATTCCAAATCGGTCCTTCAATTTGAAAACATTTTAATTAAGTCCTCAAAATGCTAATATCTTATCAATCAAGTCCTTTCGTCCGCTGACCATCAACGTGAGTGTTAAATGCCAGCTCAAGTTCGACGTAAAACATATCCTGTAGGACGAATAACTTGAATCTAACGTGTTAAAAAAACAGCTTCGGACCTTGTTTATTTTTTTTCTTAACATGTCCGATTCATGTTGTACATGCTATAGATACATACATGTGTATAAGTTGATGACTGAGCTGATGAAAGTACTTGATTAATTAAAAATATTTCCAAGTTTATATGACGTGCATTTGATGCAAGCAACCCTAAATAATTTTGAAAAGTCCGTCTGTATTTATTGAGAATGGTTTTGGAAATTTGCAGGTGGGAGGTGGTGGGTTCTAAAAGTGGTATTCAATATGGCCCATTCCCAGTGCCTCAACAAGGACTCCCAGCCAGATTTTGGAAGGAACAAAGCAGTCCTATTCAAGATGTTTGCCCTTAATTTAGTTATTTAGTTCCAAATCTGGGGAAAATTACTACCCCATCGCACCACTGTATCCCACCTGTTTTTCACCAATGGGGTCTCAACAAATCATGTTACGAGTTTCGATATATAATAAAATATAATATCTGATGTATTGTCGATGTATAAATCTATACGTAAGTTTAAAAATCGAGCACCATCCATGCAAGAGCGACGCGTGTAAAATGTACATTTTGGTTCTTCACGAATGCCCTTGTGCTGGTGGGCACATTCCCTGTTTAAGGGCACAAGGTACCGTCAAAACCAGGCACAATAACTCCTATGCATACGGCCTACATCTGTGGTTCTTGCGGCTGCTCTAGAACCCATGGTGGCCCCAAATGAATTGATATTTTTTCTTCTTCTTAAGGCACGAATCTTGTAACCGAGATGAGGTGCACTCTTGTTGTAATAACCTAAGCAACAAGGACACTGCACTGTGTCCACATGATCATCTATGAGTTGAATATATAATAAGTCATTATCATACGATGAAACGTATCATCAATTAACTTTTAATGAAATAAATTTAATATAATGACATTAATTTATAAATTAGATTGAAAATTTTAATATAACAAAACCATATTTTAGGGTGTAAAGTGAAAAAAAATTATATTCTTTGACCCACCAAAATGAGAGAAAATTTTTAAGATACAAAGTGAAGAAAAAAAATATACTTGAGCGTACCAAATTGGAAATTAAACCTTTAAAATCTGACTCAAGGAAACTTCTAGGAATTAGTCCATTATCATGGCTTAAACCGTGCCCGTCTGCATCAAGAACATATATAAGACGTATCATTCAGTCACTAGGAACATGGCGATCACAACATTGTATGAACATGGGATCACATTATCATCATTTAGCCCATCGCGGTGCCACAGCTGTGCATATATTCACATGGCACCATCAACATCATGACTATATGAGTTCGACATACGATCAAAATCGTTTTCAATTCCATATTTATTTACCTGCTTGTAAAATTATTCACATTTACGTATAAATATCGAATATAATCACATGTCACGTAATCGTCCTTTTCAAGACCTAACTTACAATTGCTAATCTTAATTAGCAGAAGGATCGAGTAATTCAACTGAAATGGAAATATAACTGACCAACAAATTTATCCATTAATGGTTACAGGCTTTCCGTTAATCAAGTGCCTGTGGTAGTCTTTTAATGTCACGTTCATTCTTGAATTTTCTAAGTTATTCGAGATTATCTCGACGTAACCAATAATATAGATCCATGCATTTTTTAAGGTAGGTATGTATCCATTAACAAATTTAATTTTTTAATGTTTTCACCTTTACAAATATTTCTAAATGTGTAGTTGTTCATAATATGCATATCCCCACTCCTATACAGTTTCCTCCATGAATTTGACTCTTTTTAGTTAAATAAATATAGGTGTTCGAATCCGAGTCATCTGAGAAGAATAAATCGGGAACCATTCAATAAATGTAGATAATTCATACATTTTTTTTTTGGAATGGTAATGAAGGCACAGCCTTTACAACTTAATGAGCAGTATTGAAGAGGCTGCTTATATCATTTCCTAATGTGTTCTGGAGGAAGCTTGGAGCAGAGTCGAGAAACATTTGAGCTGGAGTTTGCCGGAGAGAAGACTTGGCAATGATATCAGCAGCAACGTTGGCGTCTCGGAGGATGAGCTTGTACTCAATGGCCCATCCTCTATCACGCAAGGAAGCAATAGATCGAGCAAGCGAAAGCGGACTTGATCTAGCGTTTGCATAAGAGACCATGTTGAAGACGTCGCTGCTATCGACTTGGCATTGCACTTTCTCGTAACCTTGAGACCATGCGAGCTTGAGGCCTTCAAATTCAGCGTGAACAGGTGAAGTAATTCCAAGAGATTTAGAGAAACCTCCGAGCCAATTTCCAAGAGAGCCACGGAGAAGGCCAGCTGTTGAACCAAGGGATGTGGAGTTGGAGACAGCACCGTCTGTGTTGAGGGCAATCCAACCAGAAGGGGGGAATTCCAAACGGCTCCATGACGGGAGAGAGGAACGACTCCAACTTGAGTGGTGCAAGGGTCTTCATAGAGACGAGCCCAATGAAGACTCAAATGGAGAAGATTATCTCTTGGAAGACTAGTGCCGGAGAAAACAAATTCATTTCTTCTCTTCCACACTTGCCACGTTAAAGAAGAGAACAATTTATTCCAAGAAATATTTGTACCTTGGAATAGACATGGAGTTTTCAGATTATCAAGGAGCCATTGATCAAGCGGGGCGCTGAGGAAATTTTTAACTTGGGAGCGGTGAATGATGGATTCCCAGAGTCGTTTGGTGTCGGGGCAACCGCGCAAAATATGAAGGGTAGTTTCCTCTATAGCTCCACAAATGAGACAGGAAGGGTTGTCCGAGAGATGACGATGGTAACGGTTCGAGTTAGAAAGGAGCTTATCTTTGAGAGATAGGCACTAAAAACATCTTATGCGTTCGGGAACAGCAACACGCCAAGGAATAACCCAGTCTTTATTGTGATTATTCCATTTATCCTTCATAAGGGAATAGTAACGGTTGAAGAAGACGAGGGATGGTGCTTGCTGCTGGATGCTAGGATGGCTTGTTTTTATTTTACATTTAATTGATAAGTTTAATCTAATATTCCAACACCCAATGTCCATAGAAACCAACCCAGCCCAAACTAAACTCAATATGTAAATCCAACCCAAACATTTAATATAAACCAACTTGAATAACCCAAACAATTCATTTAATTATCCAATTAATTATAATAAAATTAAATACCCAAATTTAAAATAACCAGCCCAGTTACTCAATTACTTTATTAGTTACCCCATAACTCAATTACTTTATCTATTGTATATTTAGAGACAATTGTAATGAGATTGTTCTCTTTATTTTTCTATTTAAGTCCTTATTTTTCAATCCATCAACAACAACAACAACAACAACAAAACCCTGATTCTCATATGCAATGGGGTAAGGGGGAGATAGGGTAGTAGGCTGACCCCAACGCCAGGTTGAGAGCAGCTTCCGTGGAAGACCTCCGGCAGTCAAAAAATTAAAAATAAAGATAAGATGCAAATGCGTGTATAAATAAATAAATAAATAAATACATAGATGAACAGTCTTCATATGCAGTCTTGATATGTGCGTCTGTAATGAGGAGTAATCCCTGTAAATAATTCCCTGCAAATAATTCCCTACATAGAAATCTCTGCATATAGACTGAAGATGTAAGACCCAGCTAAATTTAAAAAGAGGAAACATGAATAGAAATGATACACAGAAGTCAATAATAGCAAGCTACGAGAAGGAATAAATTCAAATGAGTTAATTCTTAAACTAAGGCAACACTACTCCGATACCCTAGTTCTAAGCCTTCATACATTTCAATGACAGAAACATATATAAAGTAGAAGTCATGGAAAGTACTACAAAGACATTAAAAAGAAGACAGAGATGTTACACCCTATGGCTGTGAACCGCACTACTCAACTACCCTGGTCTCAAGTAGTGGTAAATCATGCTTCATGGTTTACATTCAAAGCACCTAATTAAGAAAGAATTGGTTTTCTTATTTGAGATCCAACATTGTAAAGCGAGCATCTTTTTCAACCCCACAAAATTATAAAGATAGATTCTTCTTTTAGATTAAGATTTAACAAAGACAAGCCTGCTATCATAATGGGGGACCTAAATGAGACACAACCTGCCCAATTAGACCAATATTTTCTCCATCAGACCATGAAAAGTTGGGCACTTTTGGCACATTGTCTTTACTTATATAATCCATTGCCTCATAAACCCCAAAGTACCCCCTAAACATCAGAATGGTACACTTGCCAAAGTACCCCAAAAAAGGTTTAATTTTGTTCTCGATCCTTGTCTCTTTGTACTTTTAAAATTTAACCCTTCTGTGTTTGATTTCAAGAATTTTTTTAGTCTCTTGTTTGATTTAGAAGTTAGGAGTTCAATTGATAACTCGTTAATCTTATTTAATATATTTTAATTGTTTAACCAAACAAGTAAAAAAGGGTTACTTCGGTCAGCTTTTGATCGAATTATCCGGATCGAGTACTATAAAGTTCTATTATAGGGCAATCTTCTCAATTCAATTTACTCTGTTTACAATGCCAAGATTCGAACTTATGACCTTGCTTAACCAAAGCCGAAATATTTAACCTTTGCACTTGGGTTAGTGTTGTCTATGACTACAAAATAGGTTTTTGACCCCAAACACTTAAAAAAAAACAACGTTAAATGAGACGTAAATCCTTGAAATTGAAAGTGGGACTCAACTAGTCCGGTAAACGAACCGAACGCACACGAACAGATGTATGTTCATGTTCTTTCATTTAATAAATAAACGAACACGAACATAAACGAACAAATATTTTTTGTTCATGTTCGTTCATTAAGAAATATAGCTTGTTCATGTTCGTTCATTTAATACATAAACGAACACGAACTAACGAACATAAACGAACAACACAAACAAAAAAAAAACTTATTCGAACACTACAAACGAATGTAAAAAAAGTAAACAACAAGAATAACAACTTAAAATTCATTAATATAACCTGCAACTTTAGAGTTAATTTGTTCGAATACGACAAAAACATACATAAATCATAAACAAGTTATATGAACATAATAAAGTCTTAAAGTTAATTTGTTCAACAAAACAATCTTCTTGAAATCCAAACAACTTCAATAATTTTCGTAACATATTCAACTTGCACTCTGTTAGAACATAAATGAAATAAATGAACGAACATAAACGAACATATAGTCGAACGTTCACGAACGTAAATGAACGAATGAGCCCTTTATTCATGTTCGTTCATTTAATTAAACGAACGCAAAATCTTGTTCATATTCGTTCATTTAATAAATAAACGAACATAAACGAACTTTACGTTCAGTTCATTTACATTCCTAGACTCAACTTCAAAAGTTGAAAGAGCTTATGGACGTGAGCATAACTAAACCTCAAAAGAAACCCATTGAGACGAGAAGGAAGAACCATGTGAAAAGTCAGTAGGTGAGGAGAAAAAATTATTGATGGTCAAAATAGATGAATAAATTAAGGCTTTTGCATGTTTTGTGTATGCGTTGTGGTTTTGTTGTATAGGTAAGAGTTGAGAAACTTTATTTCTACTTAAATCCTTAGCAGCTAAGGCTCACATGGAGCTATAGGAAGACTTGGAACTCTTAGATGGTTGGAACTGGCTAAACATAACGTTAAAATACAGGAACCCTAACATGGGGATTTGGGGAACTCACCATACAAAACATAAACAAAAGTACAAACATGTAGGTGAATCATAGTTTGTTTGTTTTTCCTCTTCCTTCTAAACATGGGGTCTAAGTTGATAATGAAGGTAATAATTGTCCCACAACATAGTTTTCTAGGAGTGAACATAACTCAAAATTATTAATTAAAAATTAATAGAAACTTTTTAACCATAATTTAAGTGAAAATTTCCACTTTTGGTCCCTATTAAAAATTAATTATTTAAATTAATTCCTTTTACAATATTTTTTTTAATCTCTAACCCTAATCACAAACCAACTTTTAAGTTGAGAATAACTCTTTAACACTAACAAGTTAATTACATAATTAAGAAACTGTGTGCAAATAATTGAATTAATAATCATTGGAACTTAATCACACGAGTTGGCCAACGCTCAAAGCAGTGAGAAAAGAGTAGTAGATCCTAGGGGTCTATACATGGGTTTGTTGCCACCTTTTTCATTTGCATGGTTACCACATCGTTAAACTAAATACAAAGTTAAAAAGAGAGTTTTAGTTTAATCCACATTATATTATAAATCTCATTACATGACAAATCTAAGTAACATGAGATGTCCCCAAAGAGCATAATATAAAACCAAACATCTCCATGTGGATTCTAACACAAGGAAACAACAACTTTCCATTATATATATATATTGTTTTGTGAAGATATATTACTAAAGAGGCAATGCCTAAAGATGTTCAACAGTGAACAGAAGCAGCAGCCAGGTCTGTTTAGTAGTTCAACAATGGACCCAAGGATTTCTTTCTCCAATGATTTTGCAGATCCTCATGTAGGGATCAAGTACGAGAGCAACTACCGAGAAGCTCCGGTGTCTTCGGACTTCGAATTCTCGGTGAACAACTATGCCATGATACCTGCAGATGAGATCTTCTTCAAGGGTACGTTAGTGCCCTTGAGAGGCACTGATCATGGCAGAAAGATGACTTTGAGAGACACACTGCTCGTAGACGATGACGACGACGACGACGGTTTGTTCCCGAACTTGCGAAAGGGTTCGGGGCAGTGGAAAGAGCGGTTGGGGCTTAAAAGGACGAACATTGTGTCCAAGAAAAAGGATAGAAATGAACACGTGCTTGAGAAAGTAGTTGAAGAGAAGGGTGCTATGCCTATGTTTCTCCATGGTGAACATCTTATCAGCAACACGTAGGTGAGATTACACTACACTTCTTCTATGAATCTATCCCTCTACTTTATAAAAATCGAGAAGTTGGTCCCTCCAATTTGCTAAAATTCAATTCTCATACTTTATGAAAATTTAAAAATTAGTTCGATTTATTCATTTTCGTCCCAAAGATTGTGTCTTCTGATACCATGTTTCTTTTTTTTGTACGTTTTATTTGTTTTCAGATTTACTTGGTACAGATTAACTCGAATAACTTTCGATCTTAGTCCGCGGCACCCGTATCGAGTACCACTGAAGTTAGACGATGTTAATTGGGGTATTTGGGTAACTCTGTACAGGGTACAATATAAAGTGAGTTTAAATTGAAATTTCAACGTAGTCATTACAGTTTTCCTTCACTTTGCTTGTGTGTTTCTTCTTCCGTGTCCTCCGTCATGTATAAACGTCTGCTTTAGGGATCTTCGCTTTCCATCCATGTATAAATGGTTTAATTATGCTTCCGGTCCCTGTACCTAATTCCTTTGGCTTTTAATTTTTTAAATTTAATCGCCCTACTTATTTGGTTTAAAACTTAATAACTGTTTAAGTACTTTCATTAAATTTGGATGTGACATTCTTATATTAAAGTCGTGTTAAAAATTATTTTCCATAATCAAATTAAGGAAAATCGATTAATATTTGTATAAATTACGCTTTAATTTTTAAATAGAATTAAGGATTTACAAGTAGAAAAAACTACTATCAATCTAACTTTATGAGTCACTAAATTCTTAAACAAAGTTAACTATTTGAATGTTGACATGATGAATGGAAGAAACCGAATTTGAAAATCATCACACAATGAATCTCTACAATATCCGATCTAAATTAATCTCGACCAATAGATCGAATACAAGTAGATATATCAAAAAAAGAAAAGAACTAAATTTCAAAAGTCCCAAAAGTACATGGACTTAAGGCATAAGTAGGCCTTCGATATTAGAAAAAAGAAAACAACATATTTGTGATAGAAAAATGGTTGTCCCTTGTTCCTATATGTAATGAGGTAAGGGGAGGTAAGATAGTAGGCTGCTCCCAACACTAAATTGAGAGCAACTTCCGTAGGAGACCTCCAAATTATGAAATGCTCCATGGGACTCGATCCCACGACCTCAAGGTTAAGAACCTTGTGCTCTACCAACTGAGCTGGATGGTCATTTTCATATTTGTGATACAAAAGTTGAATGGAAACTACCATGCAGTTCACGTAGTTGATCCCCGTGGTCCCTTCCATAGTTTGGGTTCGGGTATGGTCAAGTCAAGTTTTTTAAAGGTGGTTATAGGGTTGGGTTAGATTCGGATTTAAGGCGAAAAATATCCGACCCGACCCAATCCGTGAAAAATATAATTTTACCTTATATATTTAGGAATAATTACAATAATACTTATTTATATATTATTTTTTTCAATTAAAGTACTGTTTTTATTGAATAAAAATAATTTTTTTAATTTAGGGTCGGGTCGAGTCGGATGAAGGGTATATATTATGCGAGTCGAGTCGAATTTCGAGTGGAACAGTCATTGTTCTCGGGTTGGGTCAGGTGTACCAAAAATCCGACCCAACCTAACCCGACACATGCCCATCCCTAACTATGCCATGTGTTATCCTCTCCTACCCAGTAAGAACAACTTCCCCAACAAACTCCTCCTACTCTTCCCGTTTCTTTACTCGCAACTTTTGAGTCACCGCTCAATGCTCGCAAACCTGACCTCGGGACCTCAATTTCTGCACTAATGTCTTCTTCCGCTAGTCTTTTCCATGCTTTGAACTTTTTTTTTTTCTTTCAAAACTAAAGGTCATATCATCGATACAAGTTGAGATTGGTGAGTTTGAAAAATTGTAGTGATGATATGGCCTTGAGTTTTATAAACGTGATGTTTAGAAGAGATATATTTTCAAGAGAATTAATAATCCATCAATACATTTGATTAAATGAAACCGATTTAACCTGAATAACATGGCTAATTCACGTAGACGACGTGTTAACTAAAAATTGCAAGTCACATGGAGTCATGGATAGTGGTCATGTTTTATAAACAACGTGCTTAGAAGTGTTTGCGTATTACTTTATATAAACTGAATATGCATGTGACATTTTGCACGAGGTCTTATTTTACAATAAATCTTTCCTTTGTCAACTAAAAAAAGTATATATAATTTTCACCAAATTGGCAACATGGCAAGTAACCTTAGATTCATACACTAACAAACCCTCACATTATATTTAAGTAGTTCACTCGTGTGTATAAATAGGGTGTGTATTGAGCATTGGGAACACAATATTTGGGAAAGAAACCGAAACACAGAGATATCAGGTGGCATTGGCATGGGATCGTGCGTTGCTAAAACGTACACATTGGGAAAGCTTCAAAACTATTGTGCGCGAGCTCTGTCCTTGCGGGGCAACCGAGTTTGGAAAGGCTTTACTTATACCGATTTCCCCAAAAGCATTATGCATGGAGACGACGGCGATTTTACGCACACGCAGAGCGAATGCACCGAAGAAAAGAACGCTCTGGGCTCCAAAGCTTGTCTTCTCTACCATCTGGATCATGGCAAAAAGTGGATCGTTGCCTGGAGTAATCTTTCACAAGAAACCAACAAGGTACATATATGTTTCACTTGATCCTTGAATATATATCATTGGGATGTATTTAGGGACTGTCATGGGTTGAGTCAGATAAGTTTTTTAGTATACTCGAATCGGATTTGAGTATAATATTTCACTCGTCATCCGATCTAATATAAATTTAAAACCCATCCGATCCAATTTTAAGATAAAAACCTGTAATCGACCCGACATATATAAATTTCATTTTATTAGATAAAATAAAGACCTAATTGAAAAAAAACATAAATAGAGGAGTATTATAACAATTATCCCGACACAAATATATATATATATATAAATATTTGATAAAAAATGGGCCTAATTGAAAATATATGTATATAGAGAGAGGGGCTAAAACTATACTATTATATTGGGTCAAGTTGATAGATCAAAATCCATCGAATTCGGATCATATTACATCAATCTGGACATAATGAAATTAATATATCGACTTCCATTGCAGGTCTACACCGACATCGTCGATCAACATATTCAATATAGACAGATTAAAATCAATCTTGAAATACGAGAAAAACAGAGTATGGATAAATATTGTCTCGGATATCGTGCACACGTTGAAATGCATCCGGCCGGTAGCGATACACCAATGGTTACAGCATACATCGAGCCCCATCACGATTGAAATAAAACAGAGCATGAAAGAATATCTCCACACATTCTATTGATAATCTGTTTTCGTTCCTATAAAATTTTATAAATTCATCTCTAACAAAAAATCACGTGTCCATCTCTAGTTGTATCCCCTAGTTGATTTGCGTTAGTTGTACCCACTATGTAAATGTTGAAGAACATTCATGTGATTAAAGCACCAAAGTCTAGACTATGAATTGAATATGGTTTGAAGAACTAAACTTTGAAGTTCATCTTGTGCATTTATCACCTACCTAATAGTAATTCCCCATACTAAGAAACAAAGAGAAGACAAGTATCAGTTAATATTTCCTATATGATCTATAGAATGATGGACGGTTGATGGTTGATGTATCAGTTAACATTTCTCATCACACTCATCACCATGGAGCGTTAGCAGCTGCCTCAAAAATTAGTTTATACCTCTTAGAATTCACTGTCAAGCCCTCTATTTCGGCATCCAGCCTTTGCATTTCCTCCTTTTTCCCCGAAAGCTCCAATTCTAGAGACCTCCTTGATTTCACTACCTGTTTTGATTCAAAATTTAGGCTCTGTAGATGATGCAAACCACCATCAACATCCAGAAGCTCAAGGCCAGTCGAAGAGTTCTCCGAAGTCGCGAAATCAGCTCGTGAGGTGGAAACCTCGAAAGCTCTAACGGCATCTGCAATGTTAACAATATCGATATTTAGATCGGCTGCTGGTATTTGTTCCCAAGGCCAAACAATTCAACAAGAAGAATAGTGAACTTCTTAGTACCTCTCGATTGTACGAATTCGGCCTTTTCTTCACCGGATCCAACATCCAAACTGCCATTCTCTGACTGGTTTTCTTCAGCTCTAAGATAAGACCTGCCATTTCTGTGGACTTCATATTGGTTAATATCTTGGGAAATATGCCCTGAAGACCAGAGTGAAATCACTTGTGGGGCTATATATGAAATATGAATAGTAATAAAGAACAGTCGATGAGTAAATAACCTACAGATGCCTGTCTGCTTTACACTGCTCTTTAATCTAAGTAAGCTAATAGCTGCATCTATTTCAGCTAAGCCATTCATTCTCACTATATATACCTGCAAATTTGAACATGGCACACCAGTATGTTTCTCCATACACTTTCATCAATATACTCCAAACTTCAACTGGCTTGAATTCATTTCATCCATTAACTGTCATAAGCAACAATGGGGTAAAAAGTATGAGACAATACCTTGAACTTGGAAGGCCTGATCAATTGGAAAAGTACAGCATCTCCGACAAGTAAACCATGTTCTTCGGAAAACTTTTTCCACCCGCCGCTCAACGCCTTTCTTTGGACGAGAAAAGTAATCCGGTATTCTTTTCCAGTGTCATCAACCAATATGACTGTACCATCATGGCTTGGCAAATTGAGTTGGCAGAATTCCTTAGGTAATGACTAGCACAGCCAAAGACAGAAAAATCAATGTGCAGAAAGAATTGTCCAGGAAACCATTAAAACTTTGGATATGAATATCATTGCTTACCATCCAAAACCCACGACAAACAACTGAGGGGATCATAATTTTGAAAAAACTAGGGAATTCAGGTGAGAGATTGGCTTGAACCTCTTCTGCTCTCTTTACGACCGGGGAATTTGCATAATCAAAGGTATAGTTCTTGTCCCTCGGCCTCTTCCTTCAGTATCCATAAACATGAACAGAATCAACAGTGCTTAAAAACAAAAATGAAAATCTACATCATTGAGAATAAATCAAAAACTTATCAATGAATTTACAAACCTCACAACCTTGCGAGGACAACCATAGATTCCCTGCTGAAGAAACCAGTTGTCCATTAGTCTATCATTTGAGTTAAAATCAATTTAGGGCTCATACCCAAATCCTAAAACAAGCACTGGAAAAACCAAAACTATAAGCTGAAGAACATCATATTACATTGTGGGTTTTCTTAATACATCAAAGATTTACAGAGATGGTTTAGTTTAGCATGATCCTATACAACAAGTCACATGAAAACAATAAGAACAAAGGGCAAAAACCCAGAGTAGTCATGTTATCTACGTACAAAAATAAATCATACATACATACATACATACATACATACATACATACATACATACCACATGGCGTTGTTGAAGAAGCGGGAAAAGCTGAGAAATGGGGACATGGTCATTTTCTTCTTCTTCGTCATCATCAAGTGAACATTTTCCTTCCATTTTCAAGGGCTCCTCTTGTTCTTCCACTTTGATTTTCATGTCGATGTTCATCAATAAACCAAAAAGAAAAACAATCTCTGGGTTCTTTTTACCAAAATGACAAATAATGCTACTAATGATGAACACCCAGAAACATTCTCACCGTACTAATTTGTTCTATCTGAAACTCTCTACGTTGTTTGCATTTGCATACATGTACGTACAGATACGGTATCATATTCTTCAAGGTTGGTTTATGCTTTTATATATCAGTGAGATGACAAAATACCGTGATACCAAAGAATATCAGAGGAATCAGGCCCGTTCACCTTAATCAGACAAAAGGATGGATCGGGCTGTTAAACATAATAATTAAATTTGTTTTTCAATTACTAAATTTTAATTATTTATAATTACTTGACCTAAATTGAATTAGAGGAACTTGATTTTATCGAATAAGATTTCTTAGAAAACAAAACGTTCATTCATCAATGTTTATCTTACAAAAGAATTCCATTAAAATGTATTAAATTTATCTCTATTAAATAAGAAATATGTTCAAATTAATATATTTGATAAATTAATCCCAAAGTTCTAACATCTAAATAAAACAAACTCTATACTTTTCCTCAAACCACGTTAAATAATATTTTATAAATTATAATTTAATTTGAATAATATATACCAATAAAATGATTTTGAAAAGTTATGATCGATTATGCTTTCATACAATAAACACTATCGATGATTCAAGGAAGCTGATAAGTTTCTAATTGTTGATAAAAACAAGCAGTTAAGCAGCCCTTTGTACCTTTTTTAACCAAAAAAAAACACTATCGATGATTATGGGTAGAGTAGAATAGGAAGGGGCTGGATTTTTGACACTCAAATCCAACTAGAATATAATAATTTTTCATCTGTATTTGATTTGGTACAGATTTAGAAAAATTTCATTCGACTCGATTCTCAACCTGATTTTTATGATAAAAACTCACACTCACAAATATATATAAAAATAATAATTCAAATCAAAACTTGTCGATATCAAATTCGGAATGAATATAAGAAAAACATAATCAACTACACAACTTTATACAAAAATTTCTCTCAATAACCTGTCTTTTATATATATATATATATATATATATTAAAAATTGTGCTATGTGGGGTTTTGAAAAAACGGTCAACGACCGTGATTTTGGCCACGATATAACGGTTTCGCCGCCGTCCGAGTTACCCGCGACGGCCGCAATTATGGTAAATTCGAAATAACAAAAAACGCGACCGCGATCTCGATTTGAAACCCTGGTACTATGTTCTTGTATGTACAAATTAAGTGAATGACACAAAAATAAACCAGGCCGTTCCTTTACTCTCATTTATTATCTGTCAAAAAGCATAAACCGTGCTACCGCTTGTAACTCTAACCTCTTTTCTGTCATCTTCTGTGATCTTTCATGGCTTTAACCGAACCCACTGGTATCGACCGTCCACAGGCATATCCTTCCCAATATCATAGTTGTACCTGCAAAAATATACAAAAAGAAAGTTTATTAGTTAGTTAGAGACTAGGATTTCCAGATTCTACAAACGCTAAAGTGCGACATTATGGTGACATTCCTTATCCTACGCACACTTACCTCTCAACGAAACGTTCTTGTTCGTACTTTTCGGTGACGGAGAAGAACTCGTCGATCTCCTCTTGCGACGGTGTTTTCGGATGCTGCTTACATTGTGGCGGTGGCGGATTTTTCTCCGGTGATTCCATTTCCTCTGAGTCTCTTCTGAGCTCGTTTGATAATGGAGTTGTTTCTCTACTGAAAATATAATAGGTGAGGAGAGATTATAAAAAGGTGACAGTTAAAAGGAAACGATTCGGCCTTTTTTGAATTTTTTTGATGGATAGAAGTGGAGATAAATGAAAAATAATAGTAGTCATTAATGAAGGAATTAGTTAAAAATAACCTGAATTTGATGATGTTGATGCACGTTGAGATTTCAGTTTCAAAACTCTTGGCCTGCAAAAACACATTCATGAACTGTAAGTCTATAATTATTAAAAAAACGATAGATAAAAGCTCATACGAAACAGTTCTTGTTCTTAATTTCCCTCGCACGCTAATTTTTCTCAGCAACCAAACGGGAGAACCAAAAATAGAAATCAGAAGAAAAACGAAACGGAAATACGAACTTCACCTCTAGATCTACGAATCTCAAACTATCCTCCACAATACCACATCCACATGAGTTATTATTGCTTGAACAACGAGAGAGAGAAAAAACGCCGGAGCAGAGACTGGAACACTTGTCACCACCGCCAGCGGCGAGCACTACACCGGAAGCCGCGGCGGTAATATTAGCATCTTCAACGAATTCGAAAGGAAGCATGGTTGTCCGATCTCAATGTCCGGTGAAGTTAACTCCAATTCCTGCAATCCTCGAGAATCGACGGTACTCTTTCTCCTCTTTGATAACAAGAATGAAGAACCTTGCGTTCGAAACTTCCATTTCCGCTCTGTCTGCACTTGGTTTATAGCTCCTCATACAAAAGCATTTAGAATATGTTCCATGTATTCAAATTAGATTCTATAATCAAGTTGTCGTTTAAGCTGATAGTAAATTGTCATCTGAAGCTTCAAAACTAACAATTATGCTGATAAAATGAATCAATTCATAGCATATCAATACGAAAAAAAATCAATTTAAATGTTTCACCTTGTTTATTACTCATTTTATTGTGATTTTATAACATTTAGATACATGACAGTGTATCTTGATTTACAGTATAATCTCTCCTATCACATAAGTGGAGAAAACAAATATTTTTTCCACTCACAATGCTTTGATCATCCGGACCACATCCTCCATGGAAGGTCTACTTTGTGGTTTACACAACAAGCAGATCCTTGCAATTTCTATCATTCCTGCCAAATTTTCGTTCACTAAATCACCCATTTTCTTATCATACACGCTGCTTAATCCCCATTTCCCCTTCCTCTCGTGCACGTAAGCCCTCAAGTTGGTCATCGAGGGTCTTTGCCCGGTGATTAGCTCCAACAACAGTACCCCGAAGCTGTAGACATCGGATTTTTGAGTGAACGTTTTCGGGTGATGACCCTTGAGTTCGGGTGCCACTCGGCCCGGATTTCGTTTGACGGTCATTTCCGGGGGCACTAGATACGGCGTTTCGTAGCTCGAGAGACATGCGGAGAAATCGACTCGGATTAGGATGTTGGAAGCCTTGATCACACCACATATGAGTGGTTCGGCATTTTGAGTTACTCGGCTGTGGATTAGAGCTACTGCTTGGGCTGCATATAATGCTATCCTTTTTCTGATTCCCCAGTTTAATGGAGTGAATTGGATCCCTTCACTGCCTACACATTTCCAAGAAAATAATAATAATTTGAATTCTAAATAAATAGTTAGGTTAATATAACGGCAATTAAATGGAAAACAATAATAAAGATAAAGAATATAAAGATTTATGTAAAAAAAATAAAAAAGAAAGAATCATAAATAGAGAAGAAGAATTTTACTATAGTAGGTAGAGATTAATATTTGACTCGAATTTGACGTGATCCTATAAGTTTAGGTTCGGGTTATGTCAAGTTATTTTAAAGATGAGATTAGATCAGGTTTAGGATAAAAATGCTTAACACAACCTGAGAATAATAATATAATTAACTTTTACATATTTAAGGATAATTGCTATAACGCATTTCTACATTTGTTTAAAATAGATCTCTATCCTAATAAAAATGAGAATTATATATATATATATATATATATATATATATGTCAGGTTGGATGAGTTTAAATTTTTATCCCAAAAATCAAATTGTATATCACCTCGAGTGAAACTTTCCTAAACCCAGATTAAATAGGATGACGAATGGAAGGGCGTTATACTCAAGTTGAGTTTGGGTGGGCTAAAACCTCAACACAATCCGACCTATAATCATCCCTAATAATCAACGATAAATTATAAGAGAATTATACAATAATACATCGAACTTTAGAATCATAAATAATAAATCCTATATACATATTTATAGGTGTATGAATACATTAATTTTAATTGAATAAAACCATATTATACCAAACGATTTGTATAATAAACTTCGAAGTAATGTAAAATGAAATATGAGTCATAAGATTCATCCTCAATAAGGCTTAATTCAGCAAATTGAATATGTAAGTATATATGCATATGAAGAAATGATAGGTTACCATGTAAAAGCTCTTCCAAACTTCCCAAGATCAAGTACTCATACATGATGAAAGCCTCTCCACCGTACCAAAAGCTGAAATGTATAGGCAGCAACAGCCCATCATCCTTCATTCCTCCGAAGAAATTGACCCACATCTCCAGACCACCCGCGCTCACCATCAGCCCTTCTCGGATCTTCCGAATTGTTACCACCGAACCGCATCCGAGAACAACCTTAAACAGTGTCCCTAAAGTGCCTTCACCCAGCCTGGTTTTCGGGATTTGAGCCAGTTCCGTCGGATCGTATTTCTTGGCGACCGTAGCGTCCCCGAATATCACCTTCATCGGAAGCATAACCTTCACTTCCAGTAACGAACTCGGTGTTATCGTCGTCGGCGTCGTAGCTTTCCCGTCGCTGGACTTGGGATTGTTTTTTCTGACTCCGTTGCATATGAAAACGACGAAGGCGGAAAAGAAAATTACCATGGCCGTATAAATGATCAGAGATCTGAGAGGATCCAACAACATTTCAGAATAGAGTACGTGGAACTCCTGAGGCTGTTGTTCTGTTGGGAAAACATTGCAGAGAGAATGCCTTTGTCTTCTTTTTTGCTTCTTTCATTGGATTTTTCACCTTCAACTTTGGGATCAACAATCACCCTTGTACTGGGCTTGGACATTATTTTTATGTGAAGTTAATTATAAGAGGTTTAAAACACAAATCACCCTTAAATTTGGTAACTTTGATCAAGTAACTCTTCAACTTCTTTTTCCGTTAAATTGGTCCATGAATTTTTCTTTCAAAATCAAATCGTCCCCGATCTTATTAAGTTTATTCAAATTGCCTCCTTAAGTTTTAAATATAACACAAAATAACACTTGTGGTTAACAGGTTAATTTTTTAAAATAGGCATAATAATAAAATTAACCCATAACATTTGTTCAAATGATCACTTTTACTTATATATTTTTAATCTTCAATATTTCAAATTGTAATCAAAATAACCTATATTGGATAGAAACCGTCAATTTACTAACGATCAATGCATGTTGTTGGCTTTATATTTTCATATATGCTTAAATATTGTTGACATGTCGCATGTAAGTGAAGACCTGGTATATGTCATGTTATCCGATTAAACATATGTGAAAATATTAATCTCTAACATGCGTTGACAATTAATTAATTAACTATTTTCATCCAATATGAACTATTTTGATAAAAAAAAGTAAGGATAAAGTACACAAATGATCCATCGACTAACTATTAAAAGTTATAAAACGGCCCCTCAGTCATAGGACGTTGTTTGTTCCAAACTCTTCCTTTACAGTTAAAAAACGATAGTCATCTGAGCTATATGTTAACATATTGACTGTGATATAATAAAATCTGATCCCATAATCGTTTAAGTTGTAATTTTTTAATCAAGTCTCCGTTTGCATTATGTAATCGAGCTAGTACTTGAAACATTATGTCATCGAATCAGTTTTTGAAAGCAACGGTGGTGCTAATAGATGTCATTAAGATGTTATTTTATCATATCCCAATGAGTAAGTTAAAGTTTAGCTTAGACGACCATCAAATCTTTAGCAGAAAAATACGAGTTTGGAATATATGAATAGTTGAGTGATCATTTTGTAACTTTTAATAGTCGAGAGACTCAATAAAACAATGTCATATAGTTAAAGGATCATTTTGTAATTTTTCATAATCAAGAAACTCAACAAAATAGTATCTTATACCTAAAAGTTAAAACATTAAACTTCAAATATATATATAAGAGCTAATATATATATAAGAGCTAAAATGATCATAGGATAAACATTGAAAGCTAAAGTGGTCATAGGATAAACATTGAAAGCTGATTTGATATATATATATATATTGATACAACCATTCGTTTTCGATTTATTAATTAATTAATCTGAATTGAGTATTACAAAAACGAAGATGATACTCTCAACCTAGTTTACTCTATTCGCAAACGTCAAGATTTAAATCTCTGACTTTTCCTTAAAAGATAAAATATCCCGTCTCACTAGATCATTGCTTAAAAGATGAAATATATCATCTCATTAGACCAACAAGTCCATAAAACATGCATTAATGTTATTGTTTTAGTGATCCATGTCAATAAAATAATTAAAATTATTAATTTAGGAATTATTTAGGTCATGTTTTTAAAATTCAAAAGTAATTTTAAAGGTCAATTTTTTTCCAAAAAGCAATAATGCGGCTGACAAGGAATGCGTTAAATATATCACATCCCTCTACGGCTCTACCCCAACCTTATCTTCAGTTCCTTTTACCTTATCCAAAACTTTTTTTAATTATGGATAAACTACATCATAAATCACTTTTGTTTTTATTTTCTCTTTATTTAATCACTAAAGTTCACTGAACCATTTGTTAATAATGATTAATTTTTATTTTGTCCCTAAAATATTTAAGATCTATCAATTAAATCACTAAACCGAGACCACCACATTCCTTGATTTCCCTGCCGCCACTTCTTCGATCAGCTTCTCCGGCCAGAATCAAAATCAACGAGTCCCCCTTAATAACCATCCATCCTCAACTCTTAAAAGATAAAATTCACACACACAAAAGAACCACGGATCAAAATTCCAAAATCTCAGTACTACACCCAGAAATCTTGTTGGAAAATTGAAGAGATACAAATAGAAAATATGTTTATCTTAGCAAAACCATCATAATTCATACCCTAAATTTACACGTCCAAATCCCCACAACGTAGCTAGTTAAGAAAACAACAAAATTACAAATGATCTGAAACGATCATCGCTTCTCCAATGAAACAAGACAACTCGAAAATTTGAAATCGATCGATCTCAAGGAAGAAACCCAACTAAGGGAATCGGAGAAGCAAAAGACCGGCTAGTCATCACCACAGTCGGCAATTCGTTTTGATGAATAGCCACGCCAACTGCTTCAGCCACGGTCATGACAAATTCGACGGCTAATCTCATCAACTCCACGCAGATCTCCAATCTTTGAAGCACCATTTTTGCAAAAGCTCTTCAAGAAGTACTTTTCTCTCTCTATGTATTAACTTTTTTGAGTCTTTCTCTATCTCTGCTCTTTAAGATGGCTCTATTTATATACTACTATTTCTTGTAAGCAAAATTATAATATTGTCAAGTATTTATTATAGGGTAAATTGTATAAATGATCCCCTAACTATAGAGTATTATTTTATTGAGTCTCTTAACTATTAAAATTTACAAAATGAACCCTTAACGATAGGACAATATTTTATTGAGTCCTCCGACTATTAAAAGTTACAAAATGGTCACTTGGCTATTCATATGTTCCAAACTCGTTATTTCTCGTTAAAAATCGGTGGTCGTCTAAGATGGACATTAACTTGTTGACTGAGATATGATAAAATTTGATCTCATAATCGTTTTAGTTATATTTTGTGGATCAAAGGTCTGTTTATATTATATCGTCGAGGCAGTGCTTGAAATATTATGTTGGCGAGCTAGTGCTTGAAAGCAACGACAATGCCAATAGACATCATTAAAATGTGAGTTTATCATATCTCAGTTAGCTTGTTAACGTCTCGTTCAAAAGGGAATCAATTTTTTAATATAAAATGTTGATTTTAGAACATATGAATAGTTAAGTGACTATTTTGTAACTTTTGATACTCGTAGATTCAACAAAATAATATTTTATAATCATGAGGTTATTTTATAATTTTTAATAGTCATAAAACTCAACAAAATAATAATTTATAGTCGAAACATTTATCTACTTTACCCTTTATTTAAAAAAACATTCATGCATTACTTTTTCTTATAATATTATAGTTTTGATAAAGTATACTAGAAGTCATCGAATCATTCTTTAAATGATCATTTTGATCGCTAAATTTTAAAAAAAATTAAAATAAATATTAAATTTACTAAATTATAATGATAACGTTATAATAATTATAAAAGTTTGATAAATTTAATAGTTATTTTAATTTTTTTAAAAATTAAAAATTGAAATAATCATTTAGGTATAAAAATCTTTAATATCTTTTATATAATATTTTATTTTTATAAAATATATTATATGTGTAACATTATTGGGTGGTAGGAAACATAGATGAAAACGATTGCTTATACTAGATAAATATAACCTTTCGAAACAACCAAAGGTCGTCTTTGCCTTTTTTTTTCCCTTCCTGAAAATAAGGATAAATTTACATTTTGGTAATTGAACTTAGTTTTAACGTCTAATTTGGTACCAAATATTTTCTTGGTTTAAGTAGGTATCTAAGTTTTGACTTTAAATATTTAAATTTAATTTTTGGTTCAAATTAATAATTTAATTTAATTTTTTTAATCAAAATTGGTACTTATAGTAAACGAGTTATTTGAATATGAGTTCATGTACCAATTTGAACCCAAAAAATCAAATTCACACTCCCAAAATAAGACTAAAAAATTATTTAGATACTAATTGAACCTTATGTCATTCATATACCAAAATGTATATTTACCCAAAATTAATACGATTGTCTGTCAAAATCTTTCAATTCATCTCTAAATGTAAAATATAATAATTACCATATAGGGTTTTAACCTTTTTTTTATTTAGAAAACTTCCCATGCAAAATTTTTAAATTTATTTGAGGATAAGAATGAAGATTTATTATGGTTCTAATTAGGTCGTCTAGTACGTGATTACAAAGGAATCTTAAGCAACGTTTTGGCATTCACATGAAAGTGAGTTCAAATTTCAAAGCATGAAGAGATTAATATGGTGTTTTGCCGATGCTTTTATGGGGTAGGGTCCCTGGAATCGGACATTCGGACTTCAAAGGCTCATTCCACGTTTAATCGATTTTGAATAAATATTTTTCTCTCTTTTGGAACTCAATTAATTATAAGAAATTTCATAAAATATTTTCATAAGTTGTCCAAAGTTTCAGTCCAGTAAAACAATGTATAGTATAATAGGTTGGTTCAAGTAGTAATTAATTTGATATCATTTAAGTAGGTCTCGAGTTCGAGATCTTTTGTATACAACAAATTCCCGGTGAAAGGTTTACCTAGCAAAACCAATTGTGTGACATATGTCGGTCTGAATTAGCCAGAACAAAACTCTAAGAAAATGAGAGAGCAATAAAAAAGGGTTAATTACATGGTTGATCAGTTATGTTTGTATTTTGTTCACTTTTCTTCACTGATTTCAAAATGCATAATATATTGTCACTTTCGGTTTTATTTAATTAAGACAGGGTCACTTTCAATTTTATTTAATTAAGATGTAGTCACAACGGGTTAACTGTCGTTAACAGTTAACAGATTAAGTGACGTGATACTTTGGTATAATCACACATTTGGTCCATTTTATTTATACATTCTTTCAATCTAACCATACTTTTAATAAATTAAAATAAATTTAATCGTCCAATCAAATGAAGCCACATGGCATAATATATATATATATAAACTTTAAAAAATATTTTTTATATAAATACTAAACTTAAATTTATAATATTTTATATATATTAACTTCAAAAAATATGTTTATATTAACTTCTTAAATAAATTTTATTATTAACTTAATTTAATTTAAAAATATATATTTTATTATTATCTAAACTTATAAAAATATATTTTAGTATTATGGCACGTGGCATAATTCGATTAGATGATTAAATTTATTTTAATTTATTAAAAGTATGACTAAATTGAGAGAATATGTAAATAACATGGACCATATGTGAGATTATACCAAAATATTTAACTACCATGTCACCTAACCCATCAACTATTGAAGACATTTAGCTCGTATCTTAATTAAATAAAAACTTTCTTTTGGTCGGACATTAAAGGTTCATTTCATGTACTGTATAAAGTTATACAACAAACTTTCTAGAAATGGAGACAATGAGTCACCACACCAGTGCAGTTAAAAAGACAGCCAACACTTCATTACATGTTGTCACAAGACTAAAGAAACAGTACATAAACGGCAATACCGATGAAATGCTGGATTCTGGCTTGACATGGAGAAAAACCCAGTATTTCCTGTCCCATGCTTACAATAAAATGATAGCCTCTTCTGTCGTTTCTCCCCGAAAGGTTCAGGGTGTAAAACTTCAATGAATGTTGGATGATCACCCTTCTCTGCACATGTGCATGGCTATAATCACATTGCATATATTATCTCTCCACTGCTATCAATGTCAAGTTCGGGATCACTGTCTAGGTCCTCCTCCATATCGTCGTCGATGTCCAGGCTACCGGTCAAATACTGATTGAGACTATTTGTATTGGCCGCAGGGATAGTGGCTTCAGAAATGATCTGCATGATCTCATCGACACTTTGCATCGGTTGATCGGTTTCTTCAAACTGATTGTTCATCGTATTCTCGTCCATGAGGTCTGCTGGTAGGTTCTTTAGAAACCACTCGTGGTTCCTAATTTCGGGAATGGATATCCTCTGTTGCAATAAAAAAAAAAATTCCTACATTAGAATTTAGGAATCAAGGAATAAAGAAGAAATGAGGGCAAGCATATTTACGCAGGTCTCGAGAAAGAGAACCAACCTTTGCAGGGTCAGCCACAAAGATCCTTGACATCAGATGACGGCACTCAGGCGATATATGAACGTAGTCAGGGATTGAGTACTGGACATTTAAAATTCTCTGCAAAAACCATTCTATTACGTCAGTCAACATTTTAAAGTAGTTGCCACTGAGTTTATCAAAACAGGACTGCATTTACATGAATTGTTTTGTGGAAGTTCTTAGGATCCTCGGGGTCTTCGAATGGATACGCTCCAACCAACATAACGTATAAGGTTACACCACAAGACCAGACATCTGCAATCTGACATATTTCATTGGAAAAGAAAATATAAGCATATATAGTACTTAGAAAGCGAAACATGAGCTAAAAAATGTATTATCCTTGCTCTTGTACTACAGCAATATACTATAATACGTCATCGAATCATTTTGAGAAGCCGATCATAAAAACCTTAAGCAGAGCAAAAATCAAGTGACAAAACGATCATAAATATATTTTAATATAAGCTACAATGCCATTCCTGCAGACTACAATTCTAATCTGCTTCTATGGTCTTTATTTCATCCATTGATCCTAACCAATAGCAAGAACCATCAATTATTCAAACTTCGAGCAATTCTACATCCCTTATTCCACATTATTTTTTACATTTTCCTTTAGAGGCGGAATTAAACAGAATGATATTCTCGACAAGCCCTAACAGGTCACTATATCTATGATTAACTTATCCCACTTACTAGGATGCATTGTGTTCTCACTAGTGGCTGTTCTCTTAACCTACGACACGTAGTAGAACAAAACCACGGAAAACACAGGGCATGATGTTAGTGGCTATTCTCCTAGTCCCTGAGATTTGCGTTGTTCATATTCAACCTCATTATAGTAAGACATGATGATAGTTATTGATCTGATATGATTGGTCGAGAACTTCAGAACACAAGCCAGAAAACAATGTGCGCCAGAATAATTAAGACAGAAGAATACGGCATTTAATTTCTGACAGAAGAAGAGGTGTTATTATCAAAGGTTTATTACGGGGAAAACGGTTCACATACTGGAAGACTAGAATAGTTCTTTCGAAGAACATAAGCCTGGTAGTTGAGAATACAACATTCTTAGTTAGATGGAGCTTGCACTACCACAAGTATGCGGAAGTTTAAACGGGAAAAATAAGAAGCAATATTACCTTTCCATCATATTCTTTCTTCAGTAACACTTCAGGAGCTATATAAGCGGGAGTTCCAACGGTTGATTTCGGTTGTGAATGCAGCACTGAAGACTGGAAAAAGTATTCGATGTCAACATACATGTAGATGGAAAATCAAGACAATGAAGTTGCATGCTTTGCAAACACCCTTTGATGTACTAAACAATTATATTTGTTACAAAACAGAACAGTTAAAGTCAAACTCTACCATGGCACAAGCAAATGGTAATAGGCATATATTGTACCTTGGAATACCCGAAATCGCAAATCTTCAAGCAAGGAGCTGGACTCCCATCAAGTAGCGTGTTCTCCAATTTCAGGTCTCGATGGCATACTTGCTTCAGATAGAAAATCAGCAAAAAGGGGATCTCAGCTGAATCACAACTTGAATTCTCTTTCAGATAAGGGAACAAAACAAATGTTACTCACCATTGCATGACAGTAACTGACTCCCGATATAAGCTGTTGAAAGAAGAAGCGTGCCTGAAAATATACTGAGATACATAAAAGAAAATTCCACATCACTAACACTAAAAGAACAAAGATGGGGCGGATCGGGCACTGAACCGGCCGGCATTACATATCCGCTCGAAAAGCTCTCCTCCGGATGCATATTCCATTACAATGGCCAGGTGTGTCGGTGTTAATATTACCTATACCACATCACAGTTTTCAGTTTTCAAAAGTTAAAAAACTTCCTCGAGGATGGAAAAGGTAGTAAACATTTAACAATGGAAAACAAACCTCTTTGAATCTGACGATATTCGGATGCCTTAGCGACCTGTGGTTGATGATTTCCCTTTGTACGTTTTCGTCTATCTGTTGCACACAACTCAAGAAGAGGAAAAGAAACACTAAGTCAAACTGATAAATTCTTCATAGACACTTTGCAACTTCGTAACATGATTGCGACAATCAACTAGAGATCATCGAGTTCAATACATGCCGTCCCAAATGAATATCTGAAATCAATACCATTTATGTAATAAAATCTAATGTATGAATCAATAAATTGAAATTTGCAGCTACAAATTCTTCATAGACAAACTTTGCAACTTCATAATTAAGCATGATAACGATAATCAACTAGAGCTCATCGATTTTCGATACATGTTCTAAATTCAATACCATTTATGTAATAAAATCTAAAGTATGAATCAAGAAATTGAAATTTGCAGCTACAAAATTGAACTTCATTGAAGACAAACTCAAAGACCATAACTAGCAATAAACTCAAAGATCACCAAATTACAATCCATTCAAGCTCAACCACCAAATCCATAAACATGAAAAAGAAATTGAAATTTGCAGCTACAAAATTGAACTTCACTAAAGACAAACTCAAAGACCATAATTAGCAATAAACTCGAAGATTACCGAATTCTTCACCAAATTACAATCCGTTCAAGCTCAACCACCAAATTCATAAACATGAAAAAGAAATTGAAATTTGCAGCTACAAAATTGAACTTCACTAAAGACAAACTCAAAGACCATAATTAGCAGTAAACTCAAAGATCACCGAATTCTTCACCAAATTACAATCCATTCAAGCTCAACCACCAAATTCATAAACACGAAAAAGAAAACCCAGAAAAAAATCACTGAAATTTTAGAGGAAACTAACCTTCTCACCTCTCTCGATGTACTTAACAGCAACAAGCTCATCAGTCTGCTTGTCTCTCATCAGCCGAGCCACCCCAAAGTTCCCAGAACCGATATCTTTAACCAGCTCATAACGATCGCTGTCATGCATGATTGGCATATCCATCCCTGGTCCCACTGTTACTGCTTCTCGGCTCATTTCTCTTTACTCAAAACAAAGCTTAAAGTTCTAAAAAAACAGACCCAAAAAAAAAAGAGAGGCAGAACCCAAAGCTTTCACATTATGATATTGTGGTTTAAGAGGAAACCCAGTTTGAGATCAAGCTAGGCGGTGAAGTTGATGGAGGGTAACGTGGCAGAACAGCATCCGTACGATGAGTTTCTTTTTTCTTTTTTTAAATGCGTTTGGTTCTGTTTAGGTTGGCGATTGAATGAGATTTTGTCCGTGAAATCTTTACCCACTTGAACTGATCTCAGAAAGAAAGAAAGACATGTGGGAGCTCGTGAAATATGCGGCTTTTCTTCCCCTCAAATTGTGAATCCCAGACTTTACTTTCTTTTTATAAAAAGCTACAATCTTTTTTCTCTCTCCTTTTAAAGAAAAATACCGACTTTTTAAAGGTGGGGCTCTTTCTCCTGTTAATCCAGAAACTGAGATCAAGTGTGACAGTGCGGATTTCTCAGTGGAAGGAAAGTTTCATGGTCCATGATTGGTCTATGAATTCAGTGAAAAACAATACCCCTTAAGTAACTTTTGGCATAATTACAAAATTTCTCCTAAAGCTTACATAAATGATTAATTTGACCCTATTCTTTTTTTAACATTTTAACCTCCAAAGTTTTAATTTTTTTTGTCAAATAACCCATGTTGAAAGCAAATCATTAGTTCAGTAATGATCAACACATGGTGTTGACATTACATTGCCACGTCAATAATTAAATACATATGAAAATATCGCGTCAGCAATATGTTTTAATCGTTAATCAATTAATGATTTTCTTCCAATAGAAAATATTTTGATTAAAAATTAGAATGGTAGGAGTTAAAATAACTCCAAAAAAAAAAAAGTCAAAGTGACGATTTATACAAATATTAGAGGGCAATTTTTTATTATTATGCCTTTACTTTTTTATCAAAGATTTTTCGTAATCACACAATTTTTCAATTAAGGTGGAATTTAACATCTCGTTTTTCAGATAAATTTGTCTAATTTCTTTGGAATAATGTTATGATTTAGTAATCTGAGTCGTTATGTTTAACCTTAGTCAAGTTTAAATATTATTAAGTTTGACTTATTTTAAAAAGTTTAGATATTATTGAATTTGATTCGATTCGAAAGTTTATTAGTTTAAAATGATCAAATTTAACTTGAATTTGAAATTAAAAATTAGAATTTGACTAAAATTCGGGGAAAAAAATATAAACTCGAAATATTCTCAGACTTAATTCAATTAAAGCTCGAACTTAAATAACATTTAAGTGTTAAAATTACTAATAATTTAATTTAAAAAATTAGAAGTCTAGTATATTATTTTTTATTTGCTCACGAGCTTTTTGAGTCGGATATCAGGTAGATCACTTTAGTTCGTTAAGAACTTGAGTTGAGTTCGAACTCGATTTGACTGTTGATTGAGTCAAACACGAGTAGTTTGTGGTCCGTCTCGTTTCATCTACAGCCCTAGCTATACCAATCAAAAAATATTTAAAGTTTGAATTTCGATATTGTGAAGGAAACAAACTAACAAACTAGATTAAAAGTGTTAACATCGTAACCAACATTTACAATATTTAATCTAAATTATCTTTAAAGAGAATATCAATAATTAGCAATTTCTATGCTCATTATTATTATTTTCTGTCTTTTTTCTTGAGGCATTATCATGAACTTGCATAATGTATGTGGTTGTTTAAATATTAATGCTGTGCCATCAATTTAAATTCAGAAGATTCAGATCATGAGATGAAATGCGAAGATGGTGATGATTCTGTATCCATAAATGCTGAAAGTGCAAAGGAAGAGGGGAAAGAAGAGGAGAAGGAAGACGATGATCATCCTGTTTCCATAAATGCTGAAAGGTCAAATGAAGAAGAGAACGAAGATGATGATCATCCTGTTTCCATAAATGCTGAAAGGTCAAAAAGAAGAGGAAAACGAAGGGGAGCAAGAGGAGGGTGAAGAAGCAGAGCAAGAGGGTAATGCAAGTAGAAGCAGATCTACAATAAAGATTTATAATCGTATTAGTAAATTAAGCACATAATTAAGACAATTTCTTATAATCATTGGAACAAAATTAGCAGCTTAAGATCACATAAGGATCATACAAGGCAAGATTAAAATCTAACCAAGAAAACTTAAATTAAGATAGATACAGACAGATCTGATCACATCGGTAAGCGAACCACAAAAGGGGGTCAAACTACTGAGAGATCACCCACAAACCACAAATCAGACTTGAGCGACGTGAAAAGCTATCCACGAACGCAAAATGGGCATCTAAATCCAATCCGAGGGTCCAAAGCAGAGAGGATCAACAATATAACAGATAAACGTCGGCTTGATCAGTCGTGACGATACCAAATCAATCCTTAAAAAAATAAATGAAAACAACGATCAAACAATCGAAAAATATGCCAAAAGGTAAAAAAAACGTGTCATACATGCAGACTGGTTGAAAATAGAAAAACAAAAGAAAATAAAGATGTAATATAAAAAAATAAAATGACAATAAAGAATTCTAACAATCGACAACTAACATTAAAATTAATGTCATCACCGATTAATAAAGACAATAAAAAAGGACGAAGGGTGATATCATCTTAAGTATGACATCCCCTAATTAATGGTGGATGTACATGGAGTTCAGGGTCGGTACTGAAATCCGAATTTCCTTATATTTTCAAGTCTATTTGCTATGATTTTGGCTGCTCTTGCGAAGCAATGTATTTTGCTTCGAGATGAAATTAGGGTTCTTGCTGTTGTCTTGTCTGGTAATTGTAACTTTCAATCATGTACTGTAAACAGCAGCAACATCTTTCGAGGAAGAAGTTTGAAACTCCCAGCTGTTAGCCCTCATTCATAGGCATGCATGCATATATGCATGCTTGATTAGGTATTTCATACATGCATGCATAGTTAACGATATTATTTTCTTCTTTTATTGAGCTCACTCAATACGTTTAATTTAATATATAATTTAATTTAATCGCATTAACATTTTAACATTTAATTAAAATGTAATACAATATTTTACCAATGAAGAGTTTGTTTAGCGGGATAAGACATAAGATTTCTTAAGTAAGGCCAGGAGTTCGAATCATAACATTTGCGAATGAAATAAATTGGGTTAGGAGAGTCGCCCTCGTCTCTGCATTACCCGATCCGAATTAGTCGATCAATTGATCATATACCGATGGTTATATCCAAAAAAGTATAATATAATATTTTAATATTTAATTAAATTGTAACGTATGACATTGATATTCTAACTTATTGGGTTAAATGATCGAATTATTTTTTAGTTATTCACAAACATTAATACAATACAATTTAAGCCTTTTAACTCTTTTATTAGATGGAAAATTACATTTTCATCCTTCTTAAAAATTCATCATTGAATTTAGTCTTTTAGGAAATAAAATTTCTACCTTCAATTTCTCTATAATTTCATAACTGTATCTAATAAAATTTATGGCGGGTAAACTACAATAGGGGTCACAAAATTATGCTTAGATAATCTTTTTGGTCATTAAATTTTTAAAATAATTACACAATGTTCACCATGATGTTATTATAATAATAAAGCTCGGTAAATTTAAAGACCATTTAAATTTTTTTGATATATTTTAATGATTATCTTATAGAAGTTCGATAAATTTAATGATTATTTTGTAATTTTTTAAAATTTTAATGACAAAAAATCATTTAAAGTATAGTTTAGTAACATTTTATATACTTTACCCAATTTCTGGCTCCATGATCCAATGAAGAGAGGATAATCTCAACGAGAGCTTGATACTCCTCTGCAAATAGGTAAATGGAAAGTGAGAAAGGAAGAAGAGAAAAGAGAGGAAGTTAGTTAAATAACAACAACAACAACAACAACAAAACTCTATTCCCATATGTAATGGGGTAAGGGGGAGGTAGGGTAGTAGGTTGCCCCCAACGCCAGGGTTGAGAGCAGCTTCCGTGGAAGACTTCCGACAGTAAAAAAATTAAAGATAAAGATAAAATGCAATGCATGTATAAATAAATAAATACATAGTTGAAGAGTCTTCATATGCCATCTTCATATGTACAACTGTAATGAGAAGTAATCCTTGTAAATAAATCACTACATTAAAATCTCTGCATAAAGACAGAAACGTAAGACTCGACTAAATTTAAAAAGAGGGAACCTGAAGAGAATGATACACAATAGTCAACGGTAGCAAGCTACGAGAAGGAATAAAGTCTAATGGATTAAAAACCTAAATTAAGGCAACACTACTCAACTACTCTAGTCTTAAGCTTTCATAAATTCTAATGACAGAAAACATATATAAAGTATAAGTCATGGAAAATATTACAAAGGCATTAAAAAGAGGACAGAGATGTTACACCCTATGTCTGTGACCCGCACTACTCAGCTACCCTGGTCTTCAGTCTCCACACTTTCCTATCAGAGGTCATGTCTTCAGTAATGGCTAAATCCTTCAAATCATCTCTCAAACAGTCTTCCCACCTCCGCCTTGGTCTTCCTCTCCTTCTGGCACCGTCGACAGTAATCGACTCTACCCTCCTGACTGCATCCGTCGGTTGTCACCTAAGGATATGCCCAAACCATCGTAGTCTTCCCTCCCTCAATTTTTCGGATACAGGCACCACCCCCAATGACATCCTAATTGCAGAGTTTGGTGTCATGTCCCACAGAGTCCTACCACATACCCATCGAAGCATTCTCATTTATGCGACCTCCATCCTTCTTACGTAATCCTTCTTGATTGTCCAACATTCTGATCCATGCAGCAGCGCTGATCTTATTGTTATTCTATAAAAATTTCCTTTAAGTTTTAGAGGCACCTTCTTGTCACACAAAACTCCAGTAGCAGCTCTTCACTTTAGTCATCCCGCCTTTATACGGTGTGTAACGTCATCATCTACACCCCATCTTTATGTATCATAGACCCTATGTACTTGAAACAATCATTTAAGGAGAGAACATGTCCTTCGATGCATACTTCTACATCTTCATCGTTTTGGTTCCCACTGAAGTTTGAACATAAGTACTCTGTCTTTTCAATATTGATCCTTAGACATTTTTCTTCCAAAGCAGTCTTCCAGGCAACCAGTCTTTTATTCAGCTCAGTTTTTGTTTCGGCAATTAGGACAATGTCGTCAGCGAAAAGCATACACCATGAAACACCGTCTGGTGTCGCACAATATATGTCATCCATAATCAAGACGAAAATATAAGGGCTAAGAGCCGACCCCTGGTGGAGTCCGATTTCCAAACCTTAAAACAAAATGGTCAAACCCCAAAAGCAACAGTCACATGTAAGAACATCTCGTCTCTCTGCTCTGTCTCTCTTGCCGCCAAATGTGGATTCAAAGCAATCAGTTAGCTAAACTTCAGGAGGAAAAAAACAGAACAAATCTTAAAGTTTCCAAACACACATTAACAACTAAAATACACAGAGGAAAACAACAGAGGGGACAGATCACACTGAGTTCTTTTTGGTTTTTGTTTTTGCTTTTTTGTAAGAGAAAAATTAACAAAAATGGCGCATGCCCGACCTGAGGAAAAGCCTAAGGAAGAACCCCAGGACAGGTTTCAAATGAAAGATCATCAAGCAATTGCAATGGCTTCTGCAAAGCCAACAACTAGTCGTAATAACCCCATTTCCATGGCTGCTGCAAAACAGATGATCAGTTGTAGTAGTGGAAGTGGTACTAGTGGGAGTCGCAACGGCAATGGAAACGGTGTGACGTTCAAGTTCAATGCGCATGCGCCCGAATTTGTGCCGAAATCGCTCAGCCAAAGGCCCATCTCGGGTTATTATTACCCTTGTTTCCATTACCTCGGTGGTGGTGCAGCTGCCGCCTCGGATTGGTTCTTTCTTGGTGAACAAGACACTTCTACTTATTTGAACTCTAACCCTAATCTCTCAATCCCCAATTGTTCTTCCAAGAACGTTCTAACTGATGATCTACGTCAAAAGATCATCAAACAGGTCATCTTTCTTGGGTTGCTTCTCTTTTTGCATACTTCATCATTACGATCCTTAACTTTTTTATATTTAACAATGACTGGTTATGGGATATGGCTCACGTGTTTTTTGTACAATCCTGGTGTGAAAATAGTGTGATCTGATCCTGATTGTGTATATAAAACAGGTGGAATACCAGTTCAGTGACATGAGTCTGATCGCGAATGAATCGTTGTCGAAGCAAATAAGTAAAGATCCTGAAGGCTATGGTAAGAAAACTTATGAATCCGTCATTCCTTCCATGAGTTAGTTTCGATTCGAGTCGAATTCGTTGTTGAGTTAGTTATATAGTTCAGTAATTCCACCTTCACTCATGAGTATTGGCCTTTCTTTAGTGCCTATATCTTTTATTGCTTCAACAAATAAAATCAAGTCCCTCATCACCAACCACCAGTTACTGGCCCAGGCACTTCGTTCCTCTTTAAAGCTTGTAAGTTCTTTTACTTCCATTGTTCTTGTTCATCTACTAAAGTAAAACTAATCTACACCATTATCTTCATTTTGGGTTTTTTTTGGAATGAAATCTTTGTTCTTTTGATGTGCTTGGGAAGGTTGTGATTGATGATGGCAAGAAGGTTCGTCGAAAACACCCGTTCACCGAGAAAGAACGAGAGCAAGTGCAGGTAGTATATAGGAATTTCCTTAAGATTTGACCACTTCTTTGTATGCTGCAGATTGCAATCTACCTTTTTCCTTGTTTTGCAGTCTCGTACAGTTGTCGTAGAGAATTTGCCTGAAGATCACTCTCATCAGAACCTTGATAAAATCTTTAATGTTGTCGGGAGGTTTGGTTTTCATCACATTGATCAGTTTCGGTTTATGTTCCTAATTCGCTGTCATATGTATAGAAGGGTTCTTTTGCAGCTTATTGTTAGTGTTTATATACAGTGTGAAGAACATCCGAATATGTCATCCCCAAGAATCCAATTCTTCCCATTCGAAGAACGACTATTTCCTGTCGAACAAGGTATGAAAGTTGGAATCAAACTTGTTTTCTTAGCTAAGCCGAGAGATTATTACACAATCTGCCTCATGGTTCCTTTTTTTCTATTATTCATCAAGCTACATGCACTTGTGGAATACGAGTCGACAAGGATTGCTGAGAAGGCGGTATGTTAATGCAGTTTTACTTCTACAACTTCTTATGATTCAATTGTTTCAGTCCTTCGAATTCCTCTTTTGCAATGCCATTTGAAGCTTACGTATTCGACGCAGGTTGAGAAGCTAAACGATGAAAGGAATTGGAGAAAGGGGCTCCGAGTAAGGTTGCTGCTTAGACTCTCGGTATGTAGTGTCTTCTGCAATTCAGACCTGATCCGTTTGCATGCTTCTGCTTTAATAGAAAGCATTTACGACATAAATGCAGCCTAAATCCGTTCTGAAAACAAGAAAATCAGAATTCGATGGCATATTGGACGACAACGATTCACCGCATGCTGAATACTCCCAAGGTTCTTCTCCACCAAACAATGCTGAATCATTTGAGAACAATGTAAGCATCGATGTTGATTATCCATGTTCATTATACGGTTCCTTGAGTCACATGCTGACCTGAAAAATTCCTGTCCTGATAGGCTGAAGATAGGGCAATGGGATCGAAAAAGGGATGGTCTAAGCCGCGCGGGAAGCTTCGGGGTTGCACCCAAAGCCTCGCCGGACGTGGCCTGCTTCCCGGATCTCCTCAACCCAGCAATGCAGTCCAATGCGAAGCATCAGTGAAACAGATGTTGAAGGGTCCGAGAATGCCGGACGGAACCCGGGGTTTCACCATGGGACGAGGCAAGCCGTTATGTTCACCATTGGAGTGACGATGAAATAGCTCTGCCTATCTTATATTAACCAACTAGTACTGAAAACAGCTCTGCATTTTCCTGAAAGCAGCAAGAAATGATCAAGTAGTTATGCGTAAGTCTGGCCTACGTGTAGCTTAGTACTGCTTCATAACTATTTGATGGCGATTTCCTTCTGGCACACCATTTTTTTTCTGGGTTTTTGTTGAGTATTTCTCTGGATTCATCCCATCAGCTTTTCTGCTCTGAATCTTGTAATGTATCCGAATAATCCAATCCAATCGTTACATCTGTTTCTTTCTTTCATTGTCCAAATCCGTCCGCGTGCATGCATGCTTGTAAATCCATGATTTCTTTTCGTTGCAGGATAAGCCTGCGTTCGCTTTTATCTGATACAGTGTGATAACAAATAGGGAAAATCGATCATAATGTGTTGGTTAACGACCAAACTAACGAGAGACGATTCATAACTTTTTCGAAAAAAAAATAATTATTTTTTTAATGCTTTATAAATATTTTTAATTTATAAATTTATTCTCTATAAATTCTGATAATTATAATTTTACACTTTTCACTTATTTTTTAATCTTTTTTTTAATCTTTTTTTATTTTTTTAATATTTTTAAACCTTTCATATGATCCTCTTATATTATGTATAATTCATTAGTTTTACACGAAAATATAATTATGAAACGAATCTAAATGGAGAATTGCTATTAAAATTTTATGCATTAGTATTATTCTTCTATTTTTTCAATTTTCACAAAAAAAATAATTTAGATTATTTTATGAATATTTCTAGACATCTATTATTTCTTTATTATTTTTCAAATATTCTCAAGATATATATATATATATATATATATATATATATATATATATATATTCCAAATTATACTATTTTACTAGAAGTTGAATGGCTCCTTAACATACAAAAGACTATATGATAGGTATCAGAAGAACCGGAAGCCTTTGCGCTATTTAGATATCTGCTTAGAGAAAGAAGGTATTGATGAAGGCGACGACATTACTTTTCTGTACATGGTATCATTTTTCTCTTATAAATAAAGTTGTAGGATTCTCATTTCACCATGGTTCTTTTGCATACAATATTTTGTGACCTTGCAGAGAAGAGTTGGAGTTTGAGAAAGACGAAATCCCAGATATTCACAAATAGTTCTGTAAGCTTCATTCGCCACTCTTTGACTTAATATGAATTTTTTAGCGCTATGGGTTCGAAAGATTTTGAAACCTAGGCTTACACTGGTTTGCTGCCTGGATGCTGACGGGTTTAGCTTTTGGTCTAAGCTAATCTTCTCTCCAGGAAAATTGTTGAGAAGCACACCGTGAGCCTTCTGTAAAAGCTGCCTTTGCATCTCGTATCTCGGTTATCTTATTTATGCTTGCACTTTCTGTCTATTCAAGCACATTATTGTCCTGATGATTGCAATAATTTTTTGCCAGGCACACATGGACACTTAATGATGTTGATGCTGCTGCTGAAAGCTTTGCGATTGGAGCCAAACGATGCTTAGTGACGAACTTGATGAGATTATTCTCCTTGACATCAGGCCAGTGTATATTGTGAACATCTGAACTGGTTGAGACTTTCCGATAACATTCTGCGATGCATTCCATTCAGGCAGAATAAAGAAAGAGCTTGCTGCTGCTATGAAAAAGGTTGGTACATAAAGTTGAATTCATAGTTTCTTTCGGCATCAAACATAAGTGAACAAATGTATTTATGCAACAAAGCTTGCTGAATACAGATCAATGATCAACGCGATGAGGAGAGAAGACAATACCGTAAGATGTTCCAATCAAACCCAACTGGTACGTAAAACATGATCACATTCATTTTTTCTTATTGCTGCTTGACATACGGATGGTATATACTTATGTACGGGAATGCTCAATGCAGGTGCAGATGAACAATAATGTTCGAGAGCTTCAATAACCTTTTGCAGTTGCATATAATCGGATAGTGTCATCTGGTTCAGACCTTCATTAGGATCTCTTACCTTCCAGACAAAATACTACGGATGGTTCGGGTATTCAGCGCAAAATTGAACTCTGCACGTATGAGGCTTGAACCAATTGTTGTAGACTAAAGATTTGATTGCAATTTTAGTCCAAGATAGTCCTTTTGGTATTTCTTAAAACAACTGGTATAAAATAACAATGTGGAATTCTTTTGTAGTGTATCAATGGAACTTGAATGCTTTTCGGATCAAGGCGAATGTTGAACATGGATATGTGTGATATTATGTTATTCTTTCTGGTTTTTCATATTCCTAGGAAGATCATAACTATACCAATGTTCCATCAAAAGACTAGCATTGCCAGGCTCTCCTACAACTTCCTCTGTTAGCTCTAGTTCCATCAAGCAAAATACTCGAGCACGGTTCAAGAAATGGAACCGTGACATGGGGCTGAGGCAGAGTGATGTTAAAAATGCCTCACTGGGTTTTTCCGGTCACTCTTATCCAGAGAATAAAACGTCGGCATCTGGATTTCAGGGATCGTTGCTGGTTGATGAAAACGTAAGATTCTTTATATGTAGTGTAAAGTGTAAGCATGTTACCGATTGCTTCAATATCTTGTAATCCATGGTTTCAGCATAATTACCATCTTTTTTTCCTCATATAACTTGCGTGCAGGTTGAATTTGACTCGATGAAGATCCGGATATCTCGTTTTGATTAAAGATTCACCAGGAACCTATCGGAAAACTATCGCTTAGCGGCAATAAATCTCACTGATATCGGCATCGGTCCACTACTCGATGAGTTGGGAAGAAAATTGAGTGCTTGTTTTGTTACAAGATATGATATGGCCTCCATGGATCAGAAGGAAAGCCATTGATAAACATGCTCTGTATTTTCACAATGCACTTGTGTGATGGATCTACTCCCAATGGTACATTGTATTTCACTACTGTTTTGGGCAGGTTGTATTGGCTTCAAATGAATGGGAAAATAGCAGAATTTAAAATTTTCTTATGTATTTTTGTTCTTGGGACCATGCAAACACTCATTTTGGGATCTTCATTTGGACAAAAGCATGATTAAATTTCTGTTCATGTGAATCAACGTTCATACTCTTAGCATTTACAGTGCTCAAACTCGGGATCTCAAGGGATAACAAGTCATTTAACTACTGAAATTATTTGATTCGTGCGACAATTATAATTTTATCAGTTAGAGTTTGTGACCGGTGTGACCTTTATAATATGGACCTTATTGTATATCCAATTCATACATAATCATAAGAGTTAATTGTATCACATGTTCTCAAAATATGACTAATTTTAAATTGGTCACTAAACTTTTAAATATTTTAATTTCATTCCTAAACTATAACTATCATTTTAAAATAGTCCTCAAACTTTTTAACATTTCAATTTCATCCACAAACTATGACCTTCATTCTAAATTGGTCCCCAAACTTTTTGAACATTCCAATCTCATCCCAAATATACGTATCTACTGATCACGTCCCTTGTTAATAAAATCGTTAGGCCAAGTTATATTGTTATATGTTAAAAAAACAACATTTATGTTAAACTATGGTTGAAACTAATTACATATTTGGATGAAATTGGAATATTCAAAGTTTAAGGACTAATTAGAATGGGAGTCGTAATTTGAGAATGAAATTAGAATATTCAAAAGTTTAATGGCCAATTTAAAATAATGATTATAGTTTGAGGACATATGATGCAATTAACTTTAATTATAATTCTTCGGTTAGCTTTCATTGAAAGTAGAAATTCAAAAGACTCGTTTTAATATGTTTCTTTCTTATTAATTAAGAATTCAAAATATTTCTTATTAAGTAATTTAAAAGAATTATTGTAATCCGAAATTTTAGATTTCATATGAGATTTTGTAGTCTCAAACATCTATAATTTTAAGGGATGTTTCAGGTACAACAACCTTAATATATTACTAAGGAAATGTGCTACCGGAAATGTTAATATTTTTTTAACATTTCTGGTAAAGCGTTACATAAAACATTATTTTTTTTACTGAAAATGTTAATATTAGGTGTTACCTAAAATGTTTAACATTTCTGGTAAAGCGTTACCTAAAACATTATTTTTTCTACCGGTAAAACATTATTTTTTCTATCGAAAATTAGGTAACGAAATTAACATTTACGGTAAAGAAATGATGTTTTATGTAGCACTTTACCGGAAATGTTAAAAAAATATTAACATTTCCACTAACGTCTTTCTTTAATTGTATATTAAGGGTGTCATACAACAGAAACACCATAATTTTAACGTTGTGATGAGTTTTTTAAAAAAAATATTTTTAATTTTTGTTTGTTTTACTTATCGTTACTTTATTGATTATTGTAACAGCACCAATATCCCTCAATATAACTTTCCCGAACAGAAGATCACTAACTAAGAGGGTCATAGTTTGAAGTACGATCATAGATCTAGTAATGAAGATGGAAGAAAATGTACCAAAAGCTTAGAGACAAATGAATTGTGGTAGGTTTGGACCACAAATCAACAAAGAAAAAAAGAATGGGTTTGGGGTCCTGGGTACAAGAGAATCAATAAGGACACCCCTTAATGTAGTACCCCAAGGATGCCACAACTTGGAATCAATATTTGAGATTTCTACCCTTGCAGAGCACAAATTACACCACAAACGACATGTACTAAAACCCTTTAACCATGTGATATACATATACATACATACATATACAAATACATATATATATATATATATATATATTCCATAGTTTGATTAAAGCTTTTTGTGAAGTCATCCTCAATCTAAAAGAGAAATGTCTATATTCTAAACGGCTGTTGCAGAATGTTTTAGGACCATTTGGAGGTTTCTTTGTACGTTTGTGTAAATTGATTAGGTACCAATTTCTGCTCTCTGCAATGGCTGTTTCGTATCTGATGTTACACCTTCGGAGCATCGAAAATGGATAACGATGTGTCCGGAGGGCCACGGCTCCAATGAGCTGTTTGGTTCCGCTTTCTAACGGCTGTTTCGTTGCCCCCCCCCCTCTAAAAGTAGATATTCCCATTAAAAAATCGTTGTATCAACCCCCACCACTCCCCATCCCGAGTTCGCTGATGGATTGAGTCGAGATTCGAGAGACGTTCTTCGAAGAAGACGAAATGAATTCGAGTTACTGTAATATGAACTCAAGCTCGTGTTGTCTCTCTTTTATCTTCCTCTTCTTCGATACCTTAAGTGGCTTAAGCTAATGAAGAGGACGAAAGAGAGAGAATCCTCGAGCTTTCATCCTATAAGGACTCAAAATATCTGAATTCGTTCAACAAGATAATTTTATAATCTCTGTGATTCTATTGGTTCGATACCATTCATCTCTACTTAAATCGTTAATCGGATAAGTAGAAAATATTTGTGGTTCACGTCAGAAAAAGGAATCGGGAGAGAGTGATGCATGATTTACGTGTGCATTATGCATCAGATGTACGCCCATCATAGATAGGTGGGCGCCCCAAAGTTGACAGACATACAGTAATGGCCATCATCATCCATCCATGGAGTTATAATTCATCACACAAGGACTGGTTATATGGCTATGCTTATGAGCTTTTCTTTTCTTTTATGTTCGTCATTCATCCATGGCCATGCATGGTATTTTATAATTTTAATTTTTTCCGATAAATACGTAGTGAATACATGGTAGTATAGGTTTAAAAATTCTCAACCATTTAATATGAATGCTCTACATATACAATGTTCGAACCTGAAACCTTAACAGATAACAATAAATTCTAGAACCATTGAAGTCATTTGGTTCGAACAATAATTTAAATTTTTAAATTCAAAGATAATATTTAAATTAATGTAAGCTTGAATATTATAATAACGATTATACTGATCGAGTTAGAATTCAATTGATAAAATATTAAAAATTTTAAGTACATAGATGGAGTTATAATTACATATTAAAAGGAATAAATAAATAAATAAGAATTTGTTAGATATTCAATTTATTAATGGGTTAAAAGAGAATAAAATTTTAATTTTAATTAATAAAAAATTAAAACATTATTAAATCAAAAATCCGAACTATCAAAAAATATATAGGAATGGACATGAGACCTGAACCCGACTGATTCCGACCCAACCCGACAATTTTTTTAAAAAAAATACGAGTTCGGGTCGGGTCGGATCGTTTTTTTAACGGTGGTGTTTGGATCGGGTTAGATTCGAGTTTAGGGAGAAAAATATCATACCCGACCCGAACTGAAAAAAAATATAATTTTACCTTATATATTTAGGAATAATTATAATAATATCCCTCTATATATTATTTTTTTCAATTAAATAACTGTTTTTATTAAAAAATATATACTATTTTTTATTATTTCAGATTTCGGGTGAAAGATGTAAAATTTTTGAGTCGGATCGAATTGACCGAAACCCGACCTATCCGCCATGTCCATCCCTAAATATATATAAATAACGGAATTTATAGAATCCATCACCGTCCTCCATCATGTGTGAAATTGTGGGTTCTTTCTCCATAAAAAGCATGTATTATATTTAATCATTTCTGCAGATTAAATTGACAGTGACATTATTTCTTTCTGCAACGACTTTGATGATTTATTATTGCGAATAACTGATGAATAATCATTCCTTATGATTGTTTTACACAAAACCCAGAATTTACTCCTACTTTTCACCTTTAATCATTTCAAGGCGTTTCTCCCACCCTAACCCTATATATTTATACGAGTCGCACCTTATTAAATGTATAAAAAATTTAAGTATTAATTTTGTAAATATTTTTTAAATGGGTATCAAATACGTTATTAATTTATATTATGGTGACTTTTGTGTAAAAATGTCAGCATTTTAATTATCCAGACACCCCACACAGCACGGTTTCAGGTGAACTGACTAGTTAATGAAGTAGACAATGTGTGTAGTGGTTGAGTTTATTATATTTTAGTGTGTAACAAGTTTTATTTTTTATAATAATAAATATTTTATAATTTAAAAAATTATAAAATTCATATATTTTTTTAAAAAAATTATTGAA